TTGGACAGCTGTTGAACCCACCAGGGACCCGTGATATCGACATGTCATCTTTTGCTCCTATCATCACAAGCATCACAACATAGAGTCATTTCTGGAATACTCAGCGAGTCGTTTGTAGATCTGCTTCACCTCTTATATCCTATTGACTTTATTCAACCTACATTGGAGTTTCTCATCAGGTTCATGTGGATGCATGTTGATGTTACCCTCCTTATCTGTATAAGTTTCTTGTCTCAGATTTTCGAGTATGATGTTGATTTTGGGCTGTTGGTAATGAACAGCGAGAGTTAAGATACGCATAATTCCACCTGATGCGTGTTGTACCCACCTGACGGATGTTCTTTACAATATGGAGGTTTTCAAAAGTATAATATAAATAACCTCCCCCCCCCACCCATTTATATACATAAGATCATTAGCAAAGTGCCAAGATAGGATCTTATGCATACATCCAGGTGTGCTGATAGAGGATCTAGTTGATGCGTAATGTCTTTCAACACTCTCTTTGGTCCCTTGTGTTTTGATAAAGAACAGCTTGAACCACCGGACAGTTTTCTGTCACATCAGATGAAAGGGATGCTGTAATCAGGGAGACATAATGGCATTGCAAAACACTACTATTGCCTGTTGGTCTTGATGATTGATCAGCATGGGTCAAAGTAGTTCGGCAGTTGGAATGTTACCATCCATCGTGGCTTGATGAGTTCCTTTCTGAGTTGAGTTTGCATTTTCTCACCGTGTATTGTCGTTTGTTTCTTACGTTATCAAGGTATCACCTTCCACATAAAATAGTCCCAATAGTTTTGCATGTGCTCCTGTCTCCCGGCCCGGACGCCGCCTCCATATCTGTGTGGAGTGATGAGACAAACTGCATAAATAAACATAGTAAACCGCTTTGAGACTCAGATCTGCAGTGAAAAGGCGGTATATAAATAAATACTTACTTACTTACTTACTACTTAGTGGAGTTGTGAGCTCAGTGTATCCTGGAACATATTCTCGAGAATAGTTGCAGAGTCCTGAGAAGCTGAGCATTTGACGTACTGTTATTGGTTTAGGAGTCTGCAAAATAGCATCTTTGTTGTTGTCCGTTACTCCTTGTGCTCCATTCGATACTTCTCGCCAAGGAAGTAGACAGATCTTCTGGCTACTTGTCTCTTTTGTCTCTTTACCTTGTAGCCTTTGCTGGACAGACGTGTGAGAAGTATTACCGTTGCTTCCAAGACATCTTTAGATGTAGCCCCTGCTATCATGCAGTCATACACATACTGAATCAGAATGCAGGATTCAGAAAGTTGTAGATTGGCCAGGTCTTGTCTCAGAAAAATGGTTGAAGTAGCCGGGCGAGTGCTTCCATCCCTGGGGCATTCTGGAATATGTATATTGCTTGTTGTTGTGAGTGAAGGCAAAATACTGTTGAGAGTTGGGTTCAATGTTTATTGTGAAAAAAGCATTTGCCAAGTCTATCACTGTATAGAAGTTGTAGTTTGGTGACAAGTTGTTCAAGGCAATATATGGATCTGGGACTGGGAATGACTCACCAGCTGTGATGTCATTGATAGGTCGAAAGTCTTGGACCATTCTCCAGTTCTGTAGATCCGACTTCTTCACAGGGAACAATGGCGTGTTGTAGTCTGAGACTGTTTCATAAATCACTCCTGATTCCAGCAATCCATGAATTGTTTCTTGGATACCAGTGTCTTGGTCTTCTGTGAGTGGGTATTGTGAACGAAAAACAGGTCTTGCTGTAGTGAGCTGTACCTTTATAGTGTGCTTTGTCTGGCCCACGTCATTGGGGTGAGTCATCCATATGTTTTTTGGTACTTGAGACAGATGTCTGTCTGTGTCTGGATGATCATCAAAGACTCGATGTTTGGACTGCTTTGAAGTTCTTGTTGTGTCTTCAGAGCCTTGGGGTAGAATTATCTTGAACATTTGATTTTGTGAGTTATAAAAAACTCCATCTCTTTCAGTGCGTTCATATTGCAGAGTAGAGGCAAATCTTATCATTGGGCCAAGTTGCTTCTGCGTGTGGTGCTTTGATATGGCCAGTGTTACATGAGGTGAACTCTCTCCTTCATCCATATAGTAAGGTCGTAGTTCTTCTGGTAGAATTGCTGCAATAGCCATTCCTTGAGGGCCAAGATATATACAGGAGTATTTCACCTGGAATGTTTGGCCATTCACCTGTTGCCAGAGTTCGTCATAAGTGTCGTCTTCCAGTGTGATGTATCGGAGAGTTACATGTAGAGGGTCAAGAGGCTCTCTGAGTGGATATAATGATTTGGCCCATAATTTGTAGTTTTGCCAAAATGCTGAAGCTGTGTTTCCTTTCTCTGGATCTGTGAGAATTTCTGTCCAATATATCGTTGTCTTTATCTTACAATCTTGCACAATGTCTGGAGAGAGATATAAGATCTGGACAGAATCTTTCATCTTTATATTTCTCAGCGTCATCATGGTTTCTTGTTTGTTGAGAACTTTATGGCCATCTGGGCAAAATATCAATGACAGTGAAAGTTTGCACATCAGTTCTCTTCCACAAATAGAGACGTCGCTTTGTGGTAAGAAAAGAAATTCATGTTTTACTGTCTGGTTATTCAATGTTACTGCCAATGGTTCAGTAAAAATCTTTGTTTCAGGTGATCCCACACAGCCGGATATGGACATAGTTTTGGATGTCAATGGAAATTTCTGACGAATACAGGACACTGTTGCTCCTGAGTCCACTAGAAACTTAATCTTCTGTCCATTTATCTTCAAGACCACCATTGGCTCGCTTTTCCATGGTTTCAGCGATTGGTCTGACTGTGGGCCTCTCTAGTATTCATTATACCCATCAAAACATTGGACATCTCTTCCATCATGGTAGTTGGATCCGATGTTCATTACTCTTGGGCCGCTTGGTGGGAGTCTAGGTGCAGCCATCTGTGGGTGCATTATGGGTTGCATCATAGGTGGTTGGTTTGTTGATTGGATGAATCGTTGTTGTGGGTCAAAGCCTTGTGGTTGTCTTGTGGCTGTGTTGCACAATCTTTGCTCCAGTGGCCTCTTCCTCCACATGTGAAACATGCACCGAATCCTTTATCCTTTATAAATCTCGGCCTTGGACCATTATAGCCTCTTCCTCTTCCTCTGAACTTAGAGAAACTGCGAGCGTATATTGCTGTTGGCGAAAATGTTTGTGGTGGTTGTTGCTGTGGTTGCATCACCGTCTTTATTGCGGTCAGCAATTGATTGGTGGTCACTGGTGCATCCCCATCAGCAGAGTCTTGTTGTACAGTCATCAGTCGAGAGGGTTTCTCCTTCTTCTTGTCCTTGACCTCTTCTTGGAGTTTATGTAGTTGCAACTTCATAGTGGCCAGCTCAAGTTCCTGCTTCTTGGAGTCTGTTTCCTTGTTGTTATTAATCCACTTGGTCACATGATGATTGCAATGTACATCAAAGTCTTCTTCATGTCTTAGTGTATAATCCCATCACTTCACTGAGGGGCGTCTTGTATGGGTTTACAGTAGGTCCCATTCCGTTTTGTCGCCTTTCACGCGTGAATCACACGTGAGTCTCGTGTGATTCACGCGTCTTTTATTTTCCCCCCTCCCAGTGATGCTGCAATGACCAAAACAACCACCAGGTGGCACTTGTGAGCAGGGTTACATTGGCGAGTTTCTGCCCCGCACACAATGACAATCTGTCATTGATCCATGCTCCCAGCAGACTCGAACGAACACGAAGTGGAACGTGAAGTTTAATGTAAGTAACTTTTCAATTGTTTTTCATGTGACAGTATATTCATTATTGTCTTTGGGTTGTGTTGCATTGTACACATGTCGTCATTGCGTCACATCAGCGTCGGCTAACATTATATTTTTAGATGCTAGGTATTTTTTCTCCTGCGTCAAAATGGAACTGAGAGATATTCAACTTTTCGTCACATGAAACAAGGCATAGCCTATGCTATGTTATCTAACGCTGGTTTAAAACTCAATTGAATATTAGTTTAGCGTTAATCGGACTAATTTCCATCCGCGGGAAATAAGGCACATGGTGTTTGCTAGCTTAGTTAAACAAGTTAACCATTTGAAAATAACTAAAATAATTTATTTTCTCATTTTCCTTGGAAGTAACACAAGGCCACGCAATGTAAGCAAATAAGTATAATACAGCTCGGAAACTTGTGTTGAAACAATCGCGTCAAATACTACAGTTCCCATCATGCTTTTGCTTTGTCACGTGTCCTCCTCAAACAACAACAAGCACAGGCATGCCTGTGCTTTATTTAGCAAAGAGTTTGGTCTCGTTTCTCAAACGTAAATCTGGGCTGTGTACAGAGGACTGCGTGCTTCGGTATGTACAAACGACGCTGCGCGTGATTTGATTCATAGCGTAGTTAATGTTGTAGCGTAGCTTTTCTGAGGCCAGTTTTCATTACTTTCATGACTGTCTTTCTTATATCGCTATGCACTCCACTAAACATGGCTGATACTTAGTTATTATTGCTTAACAAGTAGATACGTCTTTCCGTTTTTTTCGTTTGGAGACTGAAAATATATCCAAAGCATTTATGTTCCCCCCGTGCAACTAAAATTGTATGAATTATTTGTGAATTTAGACAATTAAATAATAATTATGTGAACATTGTGAAATTAATCACAAGTAATGTAATGTTACAGACTTGTTTTCTCTTCTACCCGAAGCTGAAAACACACGTGAGTATGGCTCTCCGTTTTCATTGAAAACCAAGACGGCTGCGGAGGTTGGGCAAAGACTTTGCTCTATAATATACAGGCATGGGTGCCCGAAACGGATCCTGTCTGATCAAGGGCGGGATTTTGTAAATGAGGTGAATATTGCTTTTTGTAGTTGTTACTTTTTTTTGTTCATACTTTCTTATTCATTTAATTTTCATTGTTTTAGCTCAATGATTCTCTGTGCTCTCTGCTGGGCATTGAGAGAAGCGTCACCCGCTGCGTACCACCCACAGACTAATGGGTTGGACGAAAAGACCAACCACAACATCAAGAGGCAAGAAAGATATGTATAATTTAATCATGTGAAGCACACATTAAATATATGACTGATGGCAAACCCTACATGTTTTAATTTCCCCCATTTAAACAATGTTCGGAATGTCTTTCTCAGAGCTTTGATGAAGTTGGTGAATGAGCAGCAGAACAACTGGGACACATTCCTTGATGCCACACTGTTCTCTTTGAGGTCAAAGGTGCACATCTCAACCAAACACACCCCATTCCAGTTGATGTATGGGCGGGAGGCTGTGTTCCCCTCAGAGGTGCCTGTAGATTATCCTGTAAGTTCCATTCGTTCAATTGTTGGGTTACACAGAGGGGGAAGAAGCTGGACAAGGTCATCAGTAAGTTCAGCTCAGTCATGGGCTGTTCCCAGTGCAGCAGGTGGGGGACCATGACTGTCACCCCCTGCAGGACACTCTGCTCTGGAGAGCAGCTTCAGTGAGAGCTATTCATCCTCTATGTGTGAAGAAGAGGTTGCACAGGTCTTTCCTTCCTGCCGCTGTCAGACTGTACTGTGAGAACTGCTGAGCCTGTACATGTCATCTCGTCTGTAAATAAGTAGTAAGTAAATACTGTAACAATCACATTTTCCCACTGTGGGACAAATTATACCTTATTTTATTTAGGAGACAATCATGGCACTTTCTTGACCCACCAATCAAAGCTTTTGGAGGATTTGAAGAAGGGAAAAATAGCAGATTCACCAGGTAGGGATAGTAATGTCAGTAATATTTGTTACTTTGCATCTAACGTTTTTCCAATGCTTTTAGGACACTGCCAAATGTGACAGCTACACACCAATGGAACTTGAGAGTGAGAAGGCGCTTGACATACAAACAGAACAGGTATGTCTAGTAGTAAATATTACAATTTATTGTATTTTCATTATAAATTAAAACTTTTGTGTTTCCTTAGAGCAATGAGGTAGGAGGGAGTTTTTACATGGAAAAAGTCTTGAAGCGGACTATAGTGTCACTGATTGTCACACGCAAGTCAAAACATTTCTCTTGTAACCAAATTCATTGTTTTCTCAGGGTATGCCCCATTGTACAAAGAAGAGCTAAATGAACAACTGATTGCCTAAAGATGTGCAGAAACCCGTCTCCGAGCACCAGACATCACAGCTGAAGCGTTATTCTTTGTAATAATTAAGAATACAAATCCTGTTAACATTGAAACTTTTTTTTGCAGGCTTTTTTGGGCAGGAATGCACTTGAATGAAAATGTCAAACGTGGGCAAGATTCTTCAAAGGGGCAGTCTTTATTCAAAGTTCCAACCCAAAGTACAACAAAGGAAAGCAAACAGCAAAGCCAACACTTGGTAAAGAAATAATACTGTACAAACATTACAGTACAATAACTTAATAATATATTATTACAGAGGCTGACCAGGACAGAAAGCCAACGCACTGGCCTTCAGGATCTGTGAACTCTTCGCGTATCCTGAGCACATCACATGCAGGAATGACCTGGCTCCCAGTCGTCCCGAGCACCAGCTAACCAACTCCACAAATCTGAGACTCCTGTGGAATTGGACACGTATGTTAATTATTGTAATTTGCTGTTTGCGTAGTGTACTGAAATGTTTTGTCCCTTTGTCTGTTTCATGGTGTGACGACGAGACCATTTGCACCTGCAAATGAATTGATTTCTGAAAATGAAGTCTCCACGCTCTTTCAACATTATCAATATATTTATTTGACAGGGACAATGCAGACACAGTCATAAACAAAGCTTGCAGCTGATGTGATGAATGTAGTTTATAGCAGATGCCAATTCACAACTCCTGTCCCTGGTTGGGCCTAACCAATCAAAGTCAATACAATTCCTACATTTCTAAAAATACACTTAGTTTACAGCCTACAGACTTGATTGATCCACACAAAAAAACTACAAACGTGTTTTCTCTTGTATTTAAAGCTTGACATCAATGCGGGAACTTTACATCCTTCAGCAGGAAAATCTACACAAATTCAATTCAATACCACAGCCCATTTTTTATGCACAACCTAACATAAAACCCATGAAAAAACCTTTGATTGGTTCCAATTTAAATGTTACTCACCAGTGTTGTTCATTTCTTTAATAGAAAGGATGCACCCGATCTTTCATCTGGGAAACTAGTCAAAATTCATCAATCCACGAATGAATTACATTTCAAAGGACAACATGGCCATGGCATGTAATCTCTGTGGTTACTGGTGATAATAATCCTGTGGTTGTTGTCATGGATCAGCTGCAGCAGAGTCTTGACAGTAAAAGTTGCACTATATATCCAAATGGCCATATTTTTTTTTTTGCAACTTCGAATTCATCCCATGAAAATTATTAACTGAACTGACAGAAAAGTGTGCAGTCCACAAGCTGTGCTGCTGCAGGTGATCGCTGCATTAAATTAAATTTATTATTTCCATTATCAACATTCATCCAGTTGTAAGCTGTAGAGTTGCCACAGGACGCTTCATCAGCCTACGTCAGCTGCCAGGACTGCTATCATAACATAAGCATAGTGGTTTCATAGGTGCAGTTGACTGCTTAAACTAAACTTTACCCGAAAGTTTGACTCTTAAACCCACATGTGCCAACACGGAACCATCAACATCTCGCCTCAAATTGCATTAAAAGTGACATTCGTGTCTTATTTCGTTCGTATTATAACTTTTAAAGGAATTCACGGACTTTCTGTCCGCCATCTTGGTTTGTTTCGGCTGCCGTGAGACGCGCATGCGCGCAGGTTTGCATTACATCATTAACAGCTGAGCATTACATAAGCGTCACTTTTTGGCAGAGCGTTACAACTCGGCAGAACACCGGCACAAAATGAAGATCCTGGTCGTTTGTTCTTCCTCTGATGAAGAACCTGTGGATGTCTCTATTGTTCTCGACAGCAAGGAGATTGTGACTGGATGTGGAAATACTGCAAAGGCATGTGCACTGCTAATGGGTCTAATATATTCCCTCAATCTTGCTTATCCTACAACACTACGATACACCTTCGAAGTATTTCAGAAGATTTTCTTACATTTAGATGCATTTAAGCCATCCCCGAAAATACAAACACTGTTTGTATATACCGGCTGTTGACGGTAGTTTGTTGTCCCCTCCTCCCTCCTCCAAAGAACATGCCTGTTTCGCAATTGTGTGTAAGATTAGTTTGCGTTGTACCATTTGGGAATGAAATACAGATACAATACACATTTGATTGTGGGGGCTGTTCTTGCCATTCACATTCAAATAGGACATCTTTATTGTTAGTTTTTGGATCTGAAATTAGACTCGTAGTTTTGCATATCTTCGAATGGATTCCATGGTCGTAATCATAGTTTGCTATTATTTGATTTGTTTCTTGACCATGTTCGTATTTATTGATGGGAATACTTTTTATAAATTGACCCTCATTGCATGGTTGGAATGCTATGTTTATTTGCGTTATTAAGCCTTCGTCGACTTTACAGTGGCAAGTAATTGTGTTCTCCTTCTTGTTGTATGTCACATGGATATTTTCTTCAACCAATAATGATTCTGAACTTGAAAAATTTACAAATATTATACCAAGAAATAAGTATACAAACATTTTTTACTACTTAAACCTACTATTCTGACCACTTTTTATGTACACACATATAAATGTAATTATTGAATTTCTTACGCTAATTACTTTTGACTATTTATCAAAAATAACCAGTTCTTTGAATTAACACGTTTTTTGTTTCTTCTGACGCTGAAAAAATCTCTAAAAACAACGCATACTAACAATCGTTTTTAAATTCTTCTGCCGAAAAAACCTCGAAAAACGGCTTCTATCTACTTTTACATTCTTCTCACGCCGAAAAAGCTTTATGAAACGGCGGCGATCGGTTTATATAAAAATGCGCATATATATATTTACAATTTAGACAGGAATCATAAAAGAGCCAGCAGCCAACCACATTGACTTTTTTTTTTTTGATGTAAGACCAATTTAACAGATTTTTAAAACGGCTTCTGTAATTTCCTTGAGTAGATCTACCTTGTGGTGGAGTTGTGTCTTTTACGGAGACTTCTGCAACGCCAGAGAAGATGAAACGCTGTCCCGGAGCAAAAAATGTGTTTGAAAAAAAAAAAAAAAAATTGTCTTTTGTCTTGGGTTTTTTTGGATCACGTCGGGGGTCACCAAATTGTGAAAGATCCCAGACGTAAGACAAAAATGAGACTTGGACGAACTGCGTAGTTCGAATAGAGTTTTATTGTCAGAAGGTTTGAGCGTAGTCTGATCAAGCACAACGCAGCTTCCCTGTCAGAAGTCTGTCGTAAAATCACAGGTTACTCCTTATATACACTGTAAATGATTACATAAGCATGACTATGCATAGCATGACTATGCAGTAAACGTATGGTTTCAATGTACAACTGTGATATAACTATGTTTTTTGTAATGGAGCAAACTCTAATGTACATTGAGATAGCACCATCTCATGCTATGCACATGTTCAGTGTTTGTTCTGTACAAACACCTTATCTGCTCCATGCCTTTGCAAGCAGTCCAAAGTACAGGTGTTATGTCTCTACTGAACTTATTTAACATGATATTTTAAACAGCAAATAGTAATTAAATATTCACAACCAGCATAACACTAGGAGAAAGACAGGAGAGGACCGGCATAACACTAGGAGAAAGACAGGAGAGGACCGGCATAACACTAGGGAAAAGACAGGAGAGGACCGGCATAACACTAGGAGAAAGGCAGGAGAGGGCTGAAACAAACAAAAAAAGTTTTGTTTTTTTCAGACTTTTGGCAAAATCTCCCAAAAACATTCAAAGTTTTTAGACTCAAGCACAATCTCCAACTGGGCATGAAAGAAAGATTCGCTCGTCCCATTCACAAAGCTTGTTTTGAAGCAGTCAAAGTGTAATTGAATCAAGGTATTTACTGATAAACTTTTCATGTTTGCAGTGAACGTGTTTGTTAGTAAATACTCTTCCAAACTCACATCACGTCTCTTCAAACACAGTTAAGTACTTTGACTCTTTTTTTTTTTGGACTCCAAATTCTTCCTCCAGTGAAGCTCGCTAACTAACGGCATTAGCATTCGGAGCACATGATGAAATGAAACGCAGAGCTGGCTCGGTAAATTGGCTCGTTTGCCCGTTTCACCGAGTTTGGTGAAGGGTGAGAAATGCATTGTGGAAGATTCTGTTGTCAAAGCGACTTCTCACACGACTCGAGCTGTAGCGGCGGCCGCGGAGAGATGATTATATTCATCTTTTGAAGCAGAAATAACAGGCCTGGGCTTTGTTCCTTGTTGGAGTTGGAAATTAAAACATCCTTTCAGCGCCCCTGTGGAGGAGTCAGAAGAATGTGCGAGTTCTATTTTGTGCGTGGTTGCAGTCATAGCGAGCGGGGGGGATATGGGATTCATTATTTTTCATACATTAGAAAAGAATACAAACCAGAACGCCGTGATGATGTTTTGTGGCCAAATGTTTGCTATAATCATGGGAGAATGTCTAATGAGTGCTATGATATTCAGTTAAAGCTGGAGTACCTGACTCATAAAACACATAAATAATGGAACTATGTATTAAAATCATAATCTCTGCCGTTAAAACTAATGTGCCACAACTTTTGCCTTCTGTGGGATTTTTCAAAATAGACAGAGAAGCGAGCACACACCGGAGCTCTCGCCATTTTTTCCGGCGCCTATGCTAAAGTTAGGGCTTTTTGTACTTAAGTCTTGCTTCTACAATATGCATTAAGTTGGAGATTTTAGACTTCTTTCCTAATTAAGTTAAGATTAGATGAGATAAACTTTATTGATCTCAGACTGGGATAGATAGAGTCACTAAGATCGGGCAAAAGACAAGTGTGCAAACACACGATAAAGGTTAAATATATAGTCTGTGCAGGATATAATTATGTACAATAAAAGAAAAAGTGGCAAAGATAAAGATAGAGATTTTTAACTGCTTCTTTTTATGCAAGAGCTGGAGATTTATTCAATACTTTTATTTTTTAATTTCAGCATAATAGTTATTATTTATTTATCTTGTGCTGTGTGCTCCTCATTCCTACTGTTCTGTAACTTGGGATATTTCAGTGTACAGCAACACTCACATTTCCCCACTGTGGGATGAATAAAGCATCCTGTTTTCAGACAGAAAAGTGAATAAAAAGAGGACTGCTCTCACTCAGACTAAATCAGTTTGCAAAATACGTGTTTTTGAATAAGATCGACCGCATGTTTTGGTCTGTTTTGTTCATAAAATGTTACTTTTACAAGAGTCTCTCTGTTGGGAAAAAAATGCATTACTTATTGAAAAAGAAAAAAACTTCTGATAGTAGATAAAAATATTGCTTTTGATCAATTTGAATAAATCAGGCGTAGGCAACATTTGAGTGACCCTATTAATCAAAACATTTTCATAAAACCTCATTAAACTGTAGCTGCTTCAGTGTCGTTATCCATTCATGAATCTGTGTTTCTCAAGGCATTTGTTTCTGTCTCCATGGAAACAGATG